CACCTGAACTGTGATGAGATTGGGGGCTAGGAGCCTAATAGATAAAGCCCCTTGGAGGCAATGGAAAGACTCCTATTAATTTTAATGGTCAGGCTCCATAAGAGCAGCTTTTCTTTGTTTTGTTTTCTTTCCCACAGAGTTTAAGGCCAGAAGGGATAATTACATCATCCAGTCTATATTTTTTTAAAAAGAAAAATGAATAGAAGAAAGTCCTTCATATGCAACTATATTCTAGACAGCAGTAGAATGTGGACATCAGGATTGTTGGGGTCCATTCCTGGCTTTGGTAAGGGATTGCAGTGTAGTGGTTAGAACAAGGGATTCATAGTTAGGACTACTGAGGTTTTTTTTTTTTTAAAAACAATACTTTGTGCATTTACACTGTATTTATTCATCTGTTGATCTCAATGCACTTTGAGAAGTGGGCATACAGAAGTAGCTTCATTTTACAAACAGCATAGCTAAGCACAGATCTCCCATTTTTCCTGAGAGCCAGTGTGGCTAACTGAATGAGATGTGCTTGCTATATTGGAAATGGACTCGGACAGCAGTGACCTTCTGCAACCTGGGTTGGTCTATGTACTGATATTTGCCTTCTCCTAGAGCAGTAGTGTGAAACCTAGCTCAATAATAATAGTTTTGTAGACTTTGCAACCCTTAACACTGGTCAGTGGAATAGGTGCGACAAGAACTCATGGACTCCTGGCTCCCAAGTTGGTGCTCCTTCTTCTACAAAAAATGGCATTTGCAGGTACATAAGCAGCATCGTTTCAGATACCACAGTGATAGTTGCCAATATAAGAATCAAGACAGATGAAGGAAGAGGACCCATTTTGCCTGCACCACAAATAGAGCTATAGCTGCATGACATCACTTTGGAATAATAATGAAGTCTTTAGAGCAGTCTGGAAGCATATTCAGTGTAATGTAACAACAGTTTATAATGGAAAGCAATAGGCAACCTTAATAGGCACCACTACATGCTCCACTACAGCTACAAGTGTATAAATGTCACACATCCCATACTCTCCACTTAAAAACTTTTCAACAATCACAAAACACATTATAGATGCTGAATTACTAAGTCTCAGCACCTCTATGAGAGAATTCATCAGCCCCTTTTCACAGATTGGAAAATGTAGGCACTTAGGCCCTCTCTTGACAGGCAAAAAGGATGTTTTTCAGTTGTGTTAGCTAATGTGGAATTAGCTCAATATGATTGAAAAGCCCTCTTAATGCTTGCTAAAATGCAGGCTAACATTTTTGAACTCATACTGGCCAGGCTACAAACACAACCAGTTAACATGATTGGCCCTGTTTTGATGGACTGAGAGGTCAAATGACTTGCACAAGATCCTAGAGGTCAGAGCAGGGTAGACCGCTCTGATCCCCCTACCTACTGCACCTCAAGACTAGTCTCCCCACTTTCTATGATGCAGAAAATAGAGATTGTGATTTGATCTTTGATTTTTAAGAAGTCAACACAAAAATATTTTCTATACTGAATCGTTAACAGACTACACATGTAGCCTTAAAGTTACAAACAGAATCATAGAAATTAGAGATGGACAAGAGCTAACAAATCATCTAGTTCACCTCCATGCTAGAGCAGGACTGTACCCTATCTATGGGGAAGAGACAGATAGAGTCTGTCCACACTACAGGTACAATGGTGTTTTCAGATCCAGTCTGGGATACACTCCTCTGACCTCGTAAAGAAAACATGGTCCACACAGCAGCTTTTTTCAGAACACATCCTCATGTCAATTAAGTTTGTCTCTCCATATGTTAGTTCTCTAACAGAGTATCTACATATGCGCTCTAGGAAAATCTGGGCAGGTATCACAGTGTCTCAGGGTACGTCTATACTTACCTCCGGGTCCGGCGGTAAGCAATCGATCTTCTGGGATCGATTTATCGCGTCTTGTTTAGACGCGATAAATCGATCCCGGAAGTGCTTGCCGTCGACGCCGGTACTCCGGCTCGGCGAGAGGTGAATAACGTAGCTGAAGTTGCGTATCTTAGTTCGAAGTGGGGGGTTAGTGTGGACCAGCCCTCAGTATAGGATAGAACAGGGGTTGGCAACCTTTGAGAACTGGTGTGCCAAGTCTTCATTTATTTACTGTAATTTAAGGTTTCGTGTGCCGGTAATACATTTTACATTTACAGGGGCGGGCGGACGGAACCCCAGACTGGCAGCGGGCTGAGCAGGGCCGGCGGACAGAACCCCAGACCGGCAGCAGACTTAACCGGTGAGCCTGCTGCCGGTCTGGGGTTCTGTCCGCTGGTCTCTGCCAGCCAGGGTCCCGCCCACCAGCCCCGTTCAGCCCGGCAGCAGGCTCAGCGGGGCCGGCGGCTGGGACCCCAGGCCAGCAACGGGCTGAGCGGCTCAGCCCGCTGCCGGCCTGGGATCCCGGCCGCCGGCCCCACTCAGCCCGCTGCCGGCCTGGGGTCCCGTTCATCCAGGCAGGCGGCGGGCTGAGCGGGGCTGGCGGCCAGGACCCCGGCTGGCAGCAGAGTGCCAGTAAAAATCAGCTTGCATGCCGCCTTTGGCATGCATGCCGCAGGTTGCTGACCCCTGGGATAGAAAGTCAGGGGAACATGCAACAGAGCAGCATCAACAGCACAAGTGGCAGTGCATTCTGGGATGCCCTATCTCAGAGAGATCTTATTGGGTTCCAGGAAGTGGGTGGGCAGAAGGAGATGGAAGAAAGAAGGATTTACCAAAACTGGCTGCATAGGCAGGGGGTCCCCCTCTACTCAGGAAAAAAAAGTTACTATAAGACAACCACATGCCAATCTAAACTCTGCCTTAGGCAAAACACAATTAGTTGCCATAGCACCTGAGGGCCAGATTCTGCCACCTTACACCATGAGTACTCCCATTGATTTCAATGGGACTTCTTGAATAATGGGCTACTCAATATGTGACAGAATCTGGCACTGAGTATTATTTGCATTGAGTATGGCTATACACCATGTTTAGAGCCAATCATGGTAGTAACAAATTTGTTTTACGATAGTAGTGTAGACGGTTGTAATGTAGACAGGGCCACGGCATTCCACTGTGGTCTTATCTACATGAGAAAGTTGCCTGATTTAGTTAAACCAATTTAGTTAAATCAGTGCAAAGCCCTGTGTGGACATGCTTATTTCAGTTTTGCTTAAGTCAATTGGGAACAGGTTTAAACTAAATATTTAAAGTTTTCCCAACATAACTATGTTGTCAAGGGGTATGTGATTTTTGCTGAGGTAGTTATGCCCATAAAAGCCTTAGTGTAGATACAGTTATATTGGTATAAGATGCTTTATTCCAGTATAGCTTATTTCAAGTCACAAATTAGAATTATATTAATATAAGCACTTTTATACTCATAACTGCATCTAATGTGGTTTTTGCAGCTGCAACTATACTGTCACAGATAAAATGGAAAAACTTCTAAAGTGTGGACAAGGCCTTAAACTGAAATGAGAGTATCCACATAGGACACCAGTTTAACTAAATCAGTTTAAATTAAACCGATACGGCTCCCATGTAAACAACACCTGTGAAGAAAAAAAAATTTCTTATCTGGAAAAAAGTATCTGAATTTAAACATTTACAGTTAATATATTTTTAAGTTTAGCTATATTCAATATAACATAGATCCATTTTAACAAGGCAACAGAGTACTTGCCAAGACCTGAGTTCAGGATTCCATGTTTTTCAGAGAAAAAGAGTTGGTGACATCATTAACATTCAGGCAATACAGGGGGCTGCATCCTTTTTCTAAAGCAGAGTAGCTGTTGTTCATGTGACCAACTCTTGTAGGAGAACAAGAGAACCCTACTCTTAGCTCCTAGCAGGAAAGTAAAAGAGGAAATCCCTTTTAACCCAATGCTATAATTTTTCTAAAATAAGGAAGTTAGTTTTTCAAAAATTATATTACCCAAGTTTTTAAGCACCACAGCAGAATAGTGAAAACTGGGAAAAAAAAAAAAAAGTTTTTTTAATCATCTATGTGGCTTACTTTTTGCTTACTTTACTTACTTTCATTTACTTTTTTTGTTACACTGAATACACAAAATAGACTAATGATTCTGGTTCTCATGCACTAGCATAATGCTGCAAAATTTGCACAGGAAAGGTGATGTGAAAAAAATCTTTGTTGCTGTTAATTTTATGCAAACATTTTTATTAAAATTAGATCTGTGTTCTTTTTAAATAAAAAAATTTAGATACCCAATAGCATCCCTTTTAAAGATTGTTTTAAAATATATTGGCAATTTAAATCTATTTGTGCAGCCTGCTCATGCTTTTAAGGCCCAATCCTGCTCCCACTGGAGTTAAAGGGAATTTACCATTGTCTTAAACAGGAGCAGGCCCCTAGAATGTTACAAACAGATTCTGTATTTACTTTAAAACCATTGCAGTTCACATTTAAAAAGCAACAGAAAAGAACTCAGAAAATGCAACTGCCCAAGGAAATCAGAGTCCACTCTTATTTCAAAGACCCAAATGACATAATACTGAGGTGGTGGCGAAGAAGAAGAAGAGTGTCTAAACCTAAAATTTATCTTCTATTATCTGACATTAAAATAATCAAATCAGTTTTAATAAAAATCACCTTGTTAATGTTGATGTTATACTTGCCTTCCAAACAGAATACACACTAAAAACATTCCATTAACTTATATATTACAGTGTTGCTCTATATGTCAACATTAAAACTACTATTGTCAGTAACATTATTGAGGATTATTTTAGAATAGATGAAGCATCATTCCTATATTGAACAGGTAAATAATAATCTTAGAGTAGAGGGACAGTGTGTTTAAATCAGGGTGGATAAAAATAAAAATTAAATAAGTACATTTATTTTTAACTTTCAAATTAATTTTTTTCCTTAAAAGTAAACCTATTTAAAATTAAATGAGATTAAATTAAAGTTTAGGATTTAACATAAATTGTTATAATCTATTAAAATAATTTAAATTAAGTAAAAATATGCAAGCAGTACCTGTTTGCTGGTGAAATTTTGAAGTCAAACCACTGCACTGGTGGAAGTCACTGGCTAAGCACTTGTGACTGGTGTTCGAAGTGCTAAACCAGCTTTTGACAGGAGTAGCCTCTTCTGCAGGCACAGAACGAACATTTTCTTCATTTCAGTTTATTCAAGTCGTTCAGTTCAATAACTAGGTGATTCAAAGTTGAGAAACCAATTGGGAATCGAAAAAGCAGAAAAGCTCATTTTCCTCTTACAATCTATTATAAAAAAAAAAAAAAAAAAAAAAAGGTGAGAGGAGGAGATCTACTAGTTCTAACATCTTGAAGGACACAGTGACAAAACTATCAGTTCAATTCATTAGCTACAGATAATACTTCATTTGTTTAATACATCAATTATTTTTAAAAGCAAATCATGTTTTGATAAACATACGCTGTATTCACAAGGGAAAAGTATTTAAGATTTAAGTTTATAATTAACAAATAAAAGCAATTTTAAAATGTTTTTGTGCATTTTAATTGAATTCCACTTTCCATCCAAGTGCAGCTTGACACAAATCATGAGTAAAAAAATAAATCACTTGGTATATAAGATATGGATCATTCACCATTCTCTATCATAAAAAAAAAAATGTACAACTTAAGAATCTGAATAAATTTATGTTAGGTTATATAATTGCTTAAATAAATGTGTATAGATATAGTTCGGGCCCTACCAAATTCACAGCCATGAAAAACATGTCACGGACCCTGAAATTTGGTTTCTCCCCATGAAATCTGGTCTTTTGTGTGCTTTAACCCTATATTATACAGATTTCATGGACGGAGACCAATGTTTTTCAAATTGGGGGTCCTGACCCAAAAGGGAGTTGCAAGGTTATTTTAGGGGGGATACAGTATTGCATCCTTACTTCTGCGCTGCCTTCAGAGCTGGGTGGCCGGACAGTGGCGGCTGTTGGCCGGGTGCCCAGCTCTGAAGGCAGTGCCCTGCTAGCAGCAGCGCAGAAGAGTGGCAATGCCATACCATGCCAACCTTACTTCTGTGCTGCTGCCTTCAGAGTTGGGTGGCCGGAGAGCGGCAGCTACTGACTAAGGGCCCAGCTCTGGGATGGCATGATATAGTATTGCCATTCTTACTTCTGTGCTGCTGCTGTCTCTCCAGCTGCCCAGCTCTGAAGGCAGTGCTGCCGCCAGCAGCAGCGCAGAAGTAAGGGTAGCAGTACCGCAACTTGCCCTACAATAATCTTGTGACCCCCCCCCCAACTCCTTTTTGGGTCAGGACTCCAACAATTACAATACTGAGAAATTTCTGATTTAAATAACTGAAATCATTAAATTTATGATTTTTAAAATCCTATGACTGTGAAATTGACCAAAATGGACCATGAATTTGGTAGGGCCCTAGATATAGTGTATTGTTTTGGTTAGAAAAAGGAAGTTTCAAATTATACCAGCCAAGGAGAATCAGCCTTCCTTTAGGAAAATAATTAAAAAGTACAAATGCAAAATAAGATTAAAATAGGTTATTTAAATCAAGATTTTCTGCTTGCTGATTTAAATAATTATTTAAATAAATAATAATAATTAAATAATTATTTAAATCAGTCCACTCTGGGTTAAATGTACTAGGAATGTTTCTATACTACTGTATTAGATAGGTGATTTTGTGGGGTGGGGGAAGAGGTGGTATGATTGGGAAAGGGAGAGACAAGGCAGAGAAACCTAATCTCATTATTAAATCAGCCCAAATTAAATCATTTCAAGATAAATCAGGGGTGTGGTATTCAAAGAGAACATTTATGAGACTGTCCAAGTTTAGCATAAGAAAACAGGCAGACTGTGGGATCCTCATGGGAAAGGTAGCCTAGCAAAATTCTACTGGCTCACTTGCCTGGGGCGAGTAATTTTTTTTGACAGCCAAGTACAATATTAGTTTTTTCACCACCATCAAGCTAAGGGTGAGTAAAAAGATTTGGTTCCTAGACTAAAAAATGTTCATGATGATTTTGCAAATTTGGTTTTATGGAAACAGAAACCACTCCCCCCCCCCCCCCCGAAAAACAAAAAAGGCTAACATCAAATGAACAAAACCTGACCTTTGTTTCAAACTGCATATTGCAGTGCTACTATTTTATATCCAATCAATACACAATTCAGAAAGAGTGCTTTTAAAATTCAAAGCTATTTGCATATCCCTGCACAGCTAAGGATTTCTTGGAAAACTGAAGAAGTCGAAAACTGAAGAAGTCGAAAATACTTCTTCTTTTGTTTGAATCCTCCATTGGGGAAGCAGCACACAATTAGAAGGCACTGTGCTGTGAGGCAGCATGAATCATTTAAAATAATGTGTGCCCTCTTTCCCTTTTATATATTACATATAAAAAAACAAACAAACAATGCAGGACAAAGGTAAACTTTTAAGATCAACTCTTTTCTCCCCCACACGTTCACAGGGGTAATAAAAATAAGTAGTAAAATGACTTCGTAATTCCCAAGACTTCCACTTGTGAAATTAAATCCAATTTTACATAAACCTGGCTCTATTGGATTCCAGTGAGAAGTGTCAGATCCATCAGTGGAAACTATGAATCCTACATTTTCATTTTAATACAGTTGAAGGGGGTATTTCTAAATAAAATGTTTGAGTAAACAATATTTTCTTGTTTTATGTGGAAATTACTGAACATCTCCATGCAAAACAGCACAGAGAAGTTACTCCAGGCTAGAGCGGTCTTCAGCACCGATCTGCCAATAAGATCAACTCTGATGCAATGGTCAGTCTGCATGAAGCTCATTGCAGTATTGGGACTTAAGTGCTTATAGGTGACAAGACAGATTGTCCCCAAAATCAGTACAGTCCATTCACTAACCCATGAGTAAAAACCAGTAAGCACCTACACTTCCCCTCTGCACCAGGTCACAGATAATTTCAGCTGGATCAAACCCATAGATATTAAAATATTTGAAAAGCTTTACAGGTGACTGCCGGGTGGGGGAGGGGGGAGAGAGAGAAGAGTCCATTTTGCATCCTTCTGATGTGTGAAAAAAGTCTGAAAAAGGGTATGGGTTAATATATATTTTTGCCTTTAAAAAAAATCAATCAGGTCTTATCTTCCTTGTTTTTGCTGGAGGACTTTGAGAACCAGAAAACTGGGGAGCAGTTTATCAAGATTCTGGGTTAAATTTAACGCTTGTTAACTAAAAAATATAAATCCCTAAAGTTTTGAACTGCAAATCTCTTCCCCCATTAAATTGCTCAGGTTTTGATTTCTTGTGATGCTTTATTTTCACTAGTTCTCTAGTCACCCATAGACTCCTCCAGCAAAAACAAGATATGCAAGTTATCCTACGTAAAAACAAGTGGAAGTTAAAAATAAATATCCAGACCTTCTTTATACATCAAACAAACAAGTGCATATTTTAGCCTTTGTAGGTCCCCTTAGGCCTATATATATAGGGGACCTACAAAGGCTTAGAAAATGTACTTGTTTGTTTATGATGTATAAAAGTCTGGATATTTATTTTTAACTTCCACTTGTTTTTACAGATATATTCCAAGCAGATATATGTTATAGGCACCAAACCTGCAAACTGCTCTATGCATGAAGATCCGGATGCTGCACCCACGTGGAATACCCAGACATCTGTGTGGGTCAACCTGTGTGTCCATGCAGAGTTCCACTGAGCAATTTGCAGGATCAGGGCATAAATAAATATCCAATCCTACTACTAATAGTTACTAGTGGGTTTAATGCAGAGCTAGGCCAATGCTGAGTGCTTTTGAAAATCTCACCCGTAGTATTTAACAAGTTATCAGTGGATGCTAATGTAATCAGTGGGCTGAGACCACTGTTCGGAGTCAGGAACTCCAGAGTTTTGATTCTGGCTTCACCTAACTAAGGCCAGGTCTACACTACAAAATTATATTGACCTAACTTAAGTTGGCATACAGACACCACAGTTATTAAACCACTTGTGTGTCTGCACACTTGGCTCAGTGTGTCAGAGTCCTTACCAGAAGCACTTGTATCGATTGTATTGTCAGTGTGGGGTGGCTCCTGAAAGCTAGTAATAGTCCACATAAGCAACAGTGTCTACTACATTGACATTGCATCAACTTAATTACATCAACTATGACTTGATGCCATTCAGGCAGGTAGTGTTACTACATCGGTGTAGAGAGGCACTTACATTGGCAGGAGCCAAATTTAAGTGAAGACACTTCCACAGCAAGGTTGACACAAGGCAACTTTTGTCAACCTAACCCTGTAGTGTAGGCCAGACCTCACTCTGATCTCTGCCCAGACATTTAACCAGTGTGCTGATCCACCTTGGGAGGTGAAAAGCACCCTCAACTCAGCACCATGCATCATCAGGCCTCCCCCCCCTTGCTTGACTTTCCTCCTATTTGAACAGGAAATAGTTTCATACCTTGTAGGTATTTTAAGGATTAACTGGTAATTTGTACAGGCCTTTGAAGATGTATACTGCTGTAGCAAGTCTAAACACAGTACAATCTTATTAATATACTATAGGCCCTTCCCTACCCCTATTCTCTCCCCACAAACCTGACTCATTATATAGAACATTATTAGGCCCCATTCCTGCAAGGTGATCCCTTATGCCCATGCACGAGCCCCTGGGAACAGAGCCTTAGTTAAAAAGCTCTTTGGGGTACAGACTGTGTCTCTATTAGTTCTGTGAATCTGCACACTTTTGGAAGCTTTAACAATAAAATAATGATGAGGGTATACACAAATAGCAAAAATAAGGACATAAGGATTCAAGTTCAGGTTAATTTTTAAATTGACAGAAAAAAAATGTTCCTAATTTTCAGGTTTTAGTCAAAAACTACCATTATTGACCTTTAATAACATCTAGGTAAGGTTTGTAACATGCTTTGATGATTTAGAGTGCTATGCAACTGCCAAGTATTTTTATTTCTATTGTTTTGGAAGGTGTCTGAATGTGTGTTCAAAAGCCTGTTTCTACTGTTCCACGAACTGTGTTAATATAGTGCTCATGACACTTGCAGAGCAATGCTGGCTGGACCAAAGAAAGAAGACAATGTTATGCATGCTGTCTCACTCAGTTCTGTCCATCCATATTGACAGACA